AATTACTTTGCATGTTGGATAGACAACATGCAAAAAGAATAAAAGGCGTGAGAAAAACATTGCTTAACAAACATTAAGACTTAATTTTAAAAAAATTATATTTTGTGTATACAAAAGCCTTGGAATGTTTACTGATAATCTGCGAAATTTAAAAATTTAAAGCATGAAAATTATAACAAGCACAAAATTGTTACGAGGCTGGTACCAAGGACTGAGCCCATGCTGAAAGAGTTAAGGTAACAAAAAGGCCAGCCTTAGCCTATTAGCTAACTGGGAATACCAAAATTGGCAGCAGTGCTATTGAATGCTTTTTTCTTTGTAAAAAAATATTATCTACCAGTGATCTATAGGTTCATATCTGGAGAATGTGAGGTGAAAGATATGCAACATAACTGAATAATATGGTTTTAGCGACAGTTGATTTATAATGTAGAAGTGCATTATTCTGAACGAAAGAACAAATCTGTTGTGCTCCAAAGTTTGTATTTATTGCTTTACAGTATGTCAAAGCACTATTAAGACCAGTTCTATGAACTTTTGTATAACTAACTTCTGATACAATAGGTAACTTCCACTCTCACAAGTTTTCCAGATTCAGTGCTGCCCTCTATATGCACACTATTTTCCACATGCTTTTACTGTGTTGTTGCATACAAATGAGCATGCTACAACCCTCCACCAATGGGAGTGCAACATACCCTCTAAGTGCTCCTGATTCCATCTATATTGATTGTTCAATCATAATCATCATTTCTCGATTTGGCACTCATATCAGATGCGTCTTTTTTTCATGCTTGAGCATTATTGAAATGGAAAGTATCTACACATCAAAACCCTTATTGTGGAAAATTTAATTTTGCAATTTCATGTATGATGTGGAACAGCAAGGTGTTATTCATGCTGGACAAACAACTACAATAGTGTCTGTTTCCTCATTGTCTTTCAAGAAGGTGACAGCTATTGTACAACTGGAGCTGGAGTCTTTCATGCAGCCTGGATCTTATTCTGAGCCTGTTACAGATATACTGGTGAAAATGTTGACAGTTTTTTTTCCCACTACCTACCTTTGCAGTACTTCTGTCATTACTGTTGTGGTTCTCCCTAGGCCTTTCTCTTCTTTCATGGACATGGTTTCTCGGGTATATACCTACTTCCTCAATTTCCTGTGACATATCATTCTTCACCTTCTCACCCTCATTAGACCCCTTCTCCTGATTATTGTATTTTTCCTCCATCTCCAGATATTCAGGTCCATGTTGAATAATTTACATCCCAACTTCATTCTGGGGCCAGCATGCCTTGTTGATACATATGCCTTGGCTTATCATTGGGCTTATTTCTCTTTCTTGGACATCTAAACTCTGGAGTCTGTTCTTCAGGCTTGGTGTTCAGATCCTCTCTCTTCTGTATAACTTTCTCAGTCCTAATTTTTCTGCCTTCATCTTACTCTCAATACCCTTTTGCAAAAACTTTCTTCCATTCATCTTTTTTCTGAGGCAATACACCATTCCCCCAAGATATTTTGGGAGGATACTCGTTCCCTTAACTTCTTTCATTTGGCACATTCATCTTCCTTGGCCTTGTCTCTTCTTGGTTGATCTGTTGCTTGGCTTTTGTTGAGAGGAACACCCTTTTTTGCTCGTGTGTATTTGCCTTCTTCTTATCTCAGGGACCTTTATCTGGCTCCTTTCCTCTGCTAAGTTATTTTTGGTGGAGTACCTGATTCTCTGGAATCACTGGTTGAGGCTACACACCAACATTCTTCCTTATTCTCCCTTGTTTCCTGTTTCTGTCTATCAGAAATACATTTTCAGTGTTGGAAAATGTTAACTTCTGAAATGCCTTGTTTCATCATGAATCATCAAAGAGCTTTTCATCGAACTGACTGGACAGGATCTCTATAATGTCATCCACCCTAACCTCACAAAATTCCTATTTATTCATACTTTTTAACTTTTTTTTAACTATTAGCAAACAGTAACTCTTGAAACATGCTAAGGTGAAGTTAAGTTCCTATCAACAAAAACTGTCTTACAAATCATATTAGGTATGTATGTTTTGGTGCATTTCTTAATGTTTTAATAGTTAAGAGTAGACAACTGTATAAAAAC